TTTATTGTATGTGGTATAGAGATGCGCGGTTGGCGGTTATAGCCGCGGACTCCGCGGTCGGGCGGATGACGTGACGAAAAAAACATTTTAATTAAATTCGGGCGGGTGGCGGGCGGTTTCTAGTCTCGCGGCTGTCATCAGCAGTGCCTTGTATCAGCGGATGGCGGGCGGGTGTGGTTTTGAAAATTGGTCAAAAACGTTGGTGCGGATGGATGGCGGACGGATGCTGAGTTTTGTGATGCGGTTGCGGATGAAATAATAGCCCATCCGCGCATCTCTAATGTGGTAACAAATAATTATGATAATGAAGAAATACAAAATAATAAGATTAAGAATAAGAATATAAAAGTAATTCAGAAAAATTCTGACTTGGTTGTTTCTAAATGAATTATGTGAAATTATGTGATATTAATTATTTGTGGTGCATTTTATTATTAATATTTTTAAAGTAATTGATTACAAATAATTATGATAACAACAATAATAAGTATAATTTTCACTTGGTGGACGATAAAAAGTTGAAATTTCCATACATTTACAAAGACAAGACTTGGGGGTGGGCTCGATTTACATGGTCAGCACCCTAACAACGCCCTAGCAACCACCCAAAACACTCAAATAGTGCACTAAAAACCCCTCAGGACACTGTTTCTCCACCTCACAGATGGAGAGATATCAAACCCCACACCAGATTTTCCATGTCCCCTCCTTGGATCAGTATACAATATTCCATGTTAACCTGATAAAAACCACTGTGCCTAATGATGCCAGATGTTGCTTGGCAGCTTTTGTGACAATACAAAGGTCAACCGGCGTATAATGGTGCCGTACGACATGGACGGGCTGATGGGAGGCAGCTGTTCACATGGTGAGACACTCCATATGGCCTGCGCTTGTCGCGGGGCCTTTTCGTACAGCCGAAAACCTAGTAAATATGCCTCAGTTCTCATTTCCCTTCTTATCCCTCATTCAAACACAGCCGGAATCCAATCACCTAGGCCTCTAAAGAGGATGATGTTGATTAAAGAGAACTCAGAGAACGGTGTTCACACTAACACACTTCCCTCCATCATGAGCGGAGAAACACAGCCAGCGAGGCTTACAGAGGGGATTGTTTAGACAGACAATGGTGTCTACCTGATTTTAATCCCAGAGCTGAGAGTGCTGGGATTGGCGGCGTTTAATAAAGGAAAGTGCTCTCGTAATCTGGATTTGCCAAAGTGCCCTTTTGTGTTAATCAGACAAATTTTACAGGATGCTTTATGACATCTGTCACAAGGAGAAGCAGGAGTTCATGATCGCTTGTGCTGAACTTGGTGACAGATCTGAAATATAGTGTCAGTTGAAATGTCCATATTAAACGGACCAAAAAGAAATTCAAATAAATTAACCTATTCATCAATTTGTTATTTATTGAGTTTTCAAGGGGAAGATGCTTTCCGCATCTGAACTACACATTTTAGAGGCATATTAAAAAAAAAATTACATGAGTGCTGTCAAATCGATTAATCGTGATTAATCACATCTAACATAAGTTTGTTTATATGTGTATGTGTATATGTATATATACATATACACACACACATAATACATATATATATATATACATATATTATATAAACACAAACTTTTATGCTAGATGCGATTAATCGTGATTAATCGATTTGACAGCACTAATATGTATATCAATTTGGTTACGATTTGTTTATGGTTTTGAAAATCTCTTATCATTCTAATATGCTGATTTGATGCTCAAGAAACTAATCTAATTATTATCAATGTGAAACAGTTGTACTGCTTAATATATTTGTGTAAACCGTGATATTTTCTTCAGGATTCTTTGATGAATAGAAAGTTTCAGCATTTATTTGAAATAGAAATCTATTGTAACATTATAAATACTGTCACTTTTGATCACTTTAATGCCTGCTTGCTGAATAAAGTATTGATTTCTGATCCCTAATTTTTGAATGTATATATATATATATATATATTGTGTGTATGGAAGCACATACTCGCACACACACAAACAGAGCGGCTAATCGACTCAGGTTGTGTAATTACTTTAGTGTTGCTGCGTAAAGCTGCATTTTTATAATTAAAGTCCAGTGTATCAGCAATGAAGCATAATAAACTACTTCTAAAATGAAGGATTACATTGATAAACCCCAGAAGGCCAGATGTGGGAATGGGGGGAGGTTGGTGGGTGGTTGGATCCGGCAAATCTAGGATGGGATTAATGGAGAAAATCCCACGGGCCGGAACGTTGCCTTTTCCATGAGGATTAGGGTCTTGTGTGGAGTCAACATGCTGTAATCCACCGATTAGCTGATATAATCACCTGTAAATACACCTTGGCCCGCACACATCCCAGAATGCCAACCGCTGCCGAGCACAAGAGGGGGAAATGAGTTTAGACCAACACACTTTCAGGCTCACAAAGATCTGAAAACGATGCCATAAAGACACTGACTGGTAAGAAACATTCATCTCATGAATCCGTTTGAGAGTAAATGTAAATACACAGCAGAGCATCTCATCTTGTTTATGTTTCTATAAAACATATTCAGAGTGGTAGACATGCTGTGTAATGCATGATTCATTGAAAGTCCTCCTTTTTCCACCTTATTTTTAAAGGGATAGTTCAGCCAGAAATGAAAATTCTGTCAGTAACTACTCACCCTCATGTCGTTCCAAACACCACCAATGTGCAACCTCCACCTGGACGATGCGACGGCAGCCATATTGCACCAGAACTCCCACCACACACCAGCTTAATGGTGGAGAGGAGACAGAGTGTTGAAGCCAATCACTATATAGGGGGATATGATGATGGACAGAGGCCATTGGGCAAATTTGGCTAGGATGCCAGGGTTACACTCCAACTCTTCTTACGAAGAACATCCTGGGACATCCTACCCTGCTTAGCAAATTAGTGGGCAACCAGGGCAACAGGGTGATAGCTGCCGGCAAATTATTATTTTTATTATTAAATAGTATACCGTTTACTGTTATTCATTTACCTATAGCGGCTGATAATAGCTTTTGTAGTTATGGATTTAGATCAGTGCAAGTAACCGTTTAGATTCATATTGTAGATCTTTTAGATTACACTTTCTAATGTTTGACTGTCCTGCTGCTGGAAAAAACTAATAAAGAAATACTAAGTAGAAGATCAATAGTCCTCACTCACTACCCTCAATGTCGTTCCTTAAGAACTATTTAAGTAATGAAAACTCCTCAAATACTAAATATGCTGTGAAAACTAATAGCCTAAAATCTAACGTTACATTACCTTTATAAGACCAGTCAGTTCCATAGACGCGTGTTCACTGCAGTGCTTAAAACTCTTAACTTTGACTCAGTAGCTCTCTCTAGTGGTCATAGTGTGGACTTACATTTTTTTTTGTCTGAATAGTTTAGTTTACTGCTTATAGAAGAACATCTAGTCTGGATTACCTATTACAGGGTACCTTAAAGGGATAGTTCACTTTGAAATACATTTTTGATATGTTTTAGCTTACCTCAAGGGCATCCTAGATGTAGGTGTCTTGGTTTCCGCAGTGACAGACAAGAACGGTTTGACCTAAAAATATCAAAATTGAAACTACTGCGGAAACAAAGACACCTACATCTTGGATGCCCTTGAGGTAAGCTAAAACATATCAAAAATTTATTTCAAAGTGAACTATCCCTTTAAATCCGAACCTGGATGATAAAAATATGTAATATAAAAATAATAAATATAGGGGGTTTAAGTATAAATAACTTCCCCTCCCTCTTGCAGCGTCATCTCTGATGATGTTTTTACTGGTGCGAGGGCGGGGCAACCTGTCACTCACACGACGATCCACCAATAGCAAATCGCAACCATCCAATCAATTCCCCATGGACAAAATGAAGTCCCACCATACATTTGTTCTTGTTCGAGAAGCCGTTTTACTCGAAGACTTTTTACTTAAAAGACTAATGCAACTTCCATTTCATGCCGACTTTAAAAATTTGATGTTCTTCTGCCACTTAAGCTAGATGATGTCAACCAACATGAATGAAACCTGTTTCTAGCCCACTAATATCTCATCTCATGTGACTCAATATCTGTTAAAACACATTTGTCAAAAGCATTACTCATTTTACTCTTTATTACATTTCTAATACTTTTATAACTTACTGCACTTTTAATGTTTTATATTAAAATATTAAGTAATAATGAGAGGTCACTAATAATTCACATCAAACTCCGCAAATACTGAAAGATGTCTTTTATTTCGAAAGACATTTAAGGAACACTCCCTCAACATGTGGAAAACAACATTATTTTGGTTCTTAGCAGATTTCAAAATTAATTCAACAATGACAATGAACAAATTAAGACGACAGTGAAGTGAAAGGATACTATTATAGACCACATTTTATATATAAAACAAAGCAAGCTCAATAAATATGACAAACACAAAAAAGCCTAATAAGTAAACCTATAATACACCATATTTACTTTGGGCAGGGTGTTTTTTTTGTTTGTTTGTTTGTTTCTTTCTTTCTTTCTTTCAGAAAGGGAGTTCAGAAGGACTGGGTTTTAGTAAAGCACCGGGCAGTTTCAGTTTAACCTTTCGGGTAACAGCAGTGAGATCATAAGCTTAGAAAACAATAAATCCTCAATACATTTGTTAACATTTGAAAACCAAACACCCTATTCAGTGTTAGATGATCAGTAATAAGTGCTCATCTAGGGTCAGGCGATGCTCTCTGAATCCTTAAACGGTATAAACCAAAAATACAGTCTTTTTTTCAGTCCGTTTACCTTTAATTAAACATCTGCTGAAGCATTTTAGATATTATTTATGCATTAACTTGACCCACACAACACAATATACAGTAAGGTGTTCAAGGTGCACATGTATAACTTAAATAAGCCGCGCCAACCTAAAGATTTAATCATATAAGCAAGTTGCATGACAGAAATATTCACTCCATCCTGTCAAATGAACATAACACTGGTCCTAAAGTAATGTGTAACGTGCCTTAGTGGCTACTCAAGTTATCTAAAGTCAAACAGTGATTTGGTTTAGGTCAAGATCTAGAACTCATTCAGTCATACACACACGCACCTTTGTATTCACACACTTTCTCATTCATAAACACAGTCACATCCAGTAGTGCAGTTAACGTGAATCACCTGCGTCCTCTTTGTCGAAATATTCTTAGAAAGGGTCCTTTTTACAGAAACATTCTTGGAAAGAAAACAGGGTGGTGAGGGAATCCAAGATGTGGCGTTTTATTCTCATTTCTACTTTCTCTTAGCATCCACACGACCCGTCGTAAGCTCAAACGTCCCACGGTCACACGTTTTCCTTTGATCGTTTGGTCTCGGAGTTCTCGTTCTGAAAACTGTACGGCCCTGCTGACCTCTTTTGAAGATAGTTGTAGTTGTGTTTTACAAAGTGCAACGAGTTAATGAGTCTGCGCTCCTCCCCTCCCGCAGAGAAATGACAGGAAAGCTACACGATGAGGAGTCCATCCGACTGGAAGAGGGAGCGGAGAGGAGAGGAGAGGAGAGCTCATTGGGTAGAGTGCATTTGTGTCCCGAATTCAGTCTCACAATGTCGTCCCGAAAACATCAGTGCCAGAAGATGCTACACTTCTCTAAGGGGAGAAAGAATACGACAAGTGTCAAAAACATTTTCTTTCCACTTTTCACAACACAAAATGATCCAATGTTAGACCAACACCAACATTCCCTCTAAGGAAAAGTATCATGTTGGTAAAAAGCTAGAGATGATTTTTTTCTTAAATAAGAACGAGATTGGTGGGTGGGTACATCTTTTCAAATGCCAAAGTAACCACTTTTAACTTACTAATAAATAAATAAATAAATAAATCATCCTGACACCAAAATATAAATATATCTATCGCTTATATATATTTTTACCTTTCTATTTTTCTCTTTCTTTTCATAGATAACATACCAATATAAAATGACAATACAATAAAAATAACTGGCATCTAATGTAGTATACTAATTTTATTTTATATTATATTATATTTAGTGCTGTCAAATTGATTAATCGCGATTAATCACATCTAACATAAAAGTATGTAAACACGTGTGTGCATAAATATATATATATACACACATAACAAATTTATGTTAGATTCGATTAATCGCAATTAATCGATTTGACAGCACTAATATATTGTATTAATTAAAAACTTTATTTTGCAGAACTGCTTTGGAACAATCTATATAGTAAAGACAGATACACTGATTGATTTGGCAATGTTATAATAAAATAAAATCTAAAATTTTATGTAATTAAACTAAAAGTAGACCCTCGTTTATTTAATAAAATAGATGCAAATAAAAACAAACATTATATATATATAAACACACACACACACTAATATATATATATATAATCTATATACACAAACACACACATACACACACTTTATTAACCATTTTGAAATGTTTATCTTTTCTATTCTCTGTAAACCCGCTTTGGAACAATATATTTAGTAAAAACAACTACAGAAATGTAATATACCTTAGACACTGTATAAAATAAAACGCCAACCAACATTTTATAAATATCTTAATTAACAAATAAACTGTTCTGCATTAGATGTTTTTTTAATTTCTGCACATTATCTGTTAAATCGCCCAAAGCTCAAGACTGAAACAAAAAAAACAATATCCAAAGACAGAAAGGTGACACTTACGAGGCTGTGAGCGTTGAGTTGAGCACCAGTGTGGTGCGTATCCTGTAGAGCTGGGCCAGTGTGAGTTTTTTGTGCTGCGGGTGTCTCTCACTGTGGCCCGTTCTCTCCGTGCCACTAGGGGGCGACAGCTCCCCGTCTGACGCACTGCAGGGAATCTGGTTGCTACCAGCCTCATGTGCAATTCTGGCCCGTCTCAATGTGTCCAAAAGCATGCCTGAGGGCATACTGCATGTGAGTCTGTGGCTTTCATCCGTCTCGTCATCCGTCGGGAGACACTCGTCCGGTTCAGCGGGGTTGAGCTCCGTCAGGCTCCTGCTGAGCGTCCCTTCTACATATTTAACCCTCTGCTCCCATGTGTGCCGACTTCCTGTGCAATCTGTGGCTGCCCTGGCAATGCCCGGGTTACAATGGTGAACTGTGGACAGCAGGTTATCCTCTGAACGGGATTTGACAGCAAGTCTCTCCAAAAACGGCAGCCGACACTGGACGTGGGGTCGGCGCCTGGGCTTTAGAGACAGCGCCACTGAGTTCTGAGATCCAAATGAGCTTTTATCTTCCTCATCGTCTTCCTCTTCCACATTTTCTTTCTCCTCACCTTCTCCTTCGTCACCCGTGGTCTCCGCCTTGTCCTCCTCGGAGTCGTCTTCCTCCACCGGGGCCACTCGACTCTGTGATTCCACCATGGACTCTGGCGAGAGTGTCCCGTAGGCGCTGTCCATGGACATGGAACGGCACTGTGGGTCCAGGTCTGAGCCCTCCTGACTGTCCAGATGGGGCTCGAAGTCTGCGGCCTGCTGGTGTTGGGCCTGCGCTGAGACGGAGGACAGACCAGCATCATGGTCTGAATGCCCACCTAGATCAGACTGAAGAGTAGAGCGATCCAAAGAGGATCCAGACTCATTCATATCCATCACTGACAAGGTTTCTGTGGAGCCATCTGATTGGCTGAAACAGAGAAACAATAATGTGAGTTCATTCATCATAAAACAAATTGCCAGCCAATGTATATTTTTAAATGATTAATTAAATTAAAATAATACAATTATGTTTAATTTAATATATACAAATAAATAATATATTATAAATGTATAATTTAAAATATAAAATATTAAAATATAATGAAATATAAAATATATATATTTTTTTTAAATATGAATAAACACATTTTTATTCAAATAAAATAATGTATCAATGTTGTTAAAAATTATTAATTTAATTAAAATAATTGTAATTATTTATATATATATATATATATATATATATATATATAAGTATATAATTTAAAATATAAAACATTAAAATGTAATGAAATATAAAATATTTATTAAAATATGAATACATTTAATTAAATTAAAATAGAATAATGTATTTATTAAAATAGAATGTAATAAAATAAATATATAAAACATAAAAAATACTTATTAACATTTCTATAAGACTTAAATTATAAATCATTTATTATAATCAAATATAAAAATAAAGGCCCTGGTTTCACAGACAGGGCTTAGATTAAGCCATGATTAGGCCTTAGTTCAATTAGGACATTTAAGTAGCTTTTATAAACGTGCATTAGAGAAAAACATTACTGGTGCGCATCTTGAGACAAAACAATGGAACTGACATATTTAAATATATATCAGTGCTTTCAGTTAAAACAGCTCAAACATGCGTTTTAGTCTGGGATTTAGGCTTAAGCCTTGTGTGAAACCGGCCAATTATTGATTAAAATATTAATTCTTAAATTAATTATAATAAAATAAAAATTACGTATTTATTAAAACTTAAATTAAATAATAAAAAATAAAACAATTTATTATTAAAAAAAATCGAATACCTATTGCTCTGATCTTTGTGTCTAAGGTGAGGTGAACTGGTAGTGGAGTTACAGCTGTCCTCGTCTTCCCCCTGATCCTCCTCTAGTTTTTTCTTCAGACAAGCCTTCTGTCTGCGAGCTTCTTCTGACCGCAGCCGCTGCAGTTGATTCTAAAATGCATGCACAAAATAGCTAAATCAGCAAACTTATCTAGCAAGGACTTAGAGATGGTCTTCAGATGGTTTAGAATATCAGAAATATCAAACAGAGATCATTAGTGCTGAGGCACAAGTGTGACTTTACCTGGATATTGCAAATTGCATCAGTCCAGCTTCGCCCCTGGGTGGCGCTGTTGGCCTGGAAAGAGTAGGCAGCCACAGCGCTCTTGAACTCATTGAGGTAGATGAGGACAAATGAGCCTAGGAAAATAAAAAAAATAAAACCCAAAATACATTTAAACCAACAATTTAATTGATGTGATGTTGTTAAGGATGATTTCTGGTTGGGACAAAAACTAAAATGGGAGAGATTGAGAGCGATTTATCTCATTGCCTCTAGTTAGGGCATATTAAAAGATGACTATGGTTCACAATATGCTCTCTTGAGATCCTCTGCTGCTCGTTACTGCTCATTCGTCATATTAAAATGTAAATGTAGACTGCTATTAAACTGGGCTCCGTCTGCTCACCTGGGTCTTTGAGCTCTCGGCACACCACATTATGCAGGAGGAGAGGCTGTCGGATCACTTTCACCTTCTCTAAACGCTTCGCTGGTTTAGTGATCAGCAGCAGATCAGTGAAAAGAAAGCAGTAAACCTCCATCTATACAAGAAAAGATAACATGAACACAAGCAGTATTTAAAGGCCTGTTTCACTGGCTACACTTAAAGGGATAGTACACCCAAAAATGAAAATTAGCCCATGATTTACTCACCCTCAAGTCATCCTAGGTGTATATGACATTCTTCTTTCAGACGAATACAATCAGAGTTATATTAAAAAATGTCCTGGTTCTTCCAAGCTTTATAATGGCTGTTTCTGTTTTGAAGTCCATAAAAGTGCATCTATCCATGATAAAAGTGCTTCACACGGCTCTGGGGGTTAATAATGGCCTTCTGAAGCGAAGCGGTGCGTTCGTGTAAGAAAAATATCAAAATTTTAAACTTTATTAACCCCCAGAGCCATGTGGAGCACTTTTATGATGGATCGATGCACTTTTATGGACTTCAAAACAGAAACAGCCATTCACTGCCATTATAAAGTTTGGAAGAGAGCCAAGACATTTTTTGATATAACTCCGATTCGTCTGAAAGAAGAATGTCATATACACCTAGGATGACTTGAGGGTGAGTAAATCATGGGCTAATTTTCATTTTTGGGTGAACTATCCCTTTAATTATTTAAAACCAACTACTACATTCCAACTGCTTCCAAATATTACCCAAATTGTTCAAATGCATCATCTGAAATTGGGATGGATTCATGTTAATTATTTAATCTGAACTAACCCTGCTGTCTTTGCCCTCTTTCATGCGGAGCGCCCCCTCCAGGTGCAGTTGCCTGGTCTCTTCTGGTGCCGTGTCAATCATCGGTGCCATCAGGTCAATTCGGCTGAACTCCTTTAGAGCCTGTAGACATGGACAGGTTGAACAATACTTAAATAAACTGTTTTCCACATAAAATCTCAGCCTGCTCAAACCAAAACCAAATTTCCGGCATGAAAACCATAACCAACAAGATATTACAACAAAACAATGCATTTCTATGAAGTCCAAAATATCACACTGGAATGATTTATCTTGTTAGATGATTCATTATTCGTAGAGTTCTGACCTTCTCCACCTCCTCGCTGGCTCCCTCCACGGCCTCGTACGACTCCACTCGAGCCGAAATGGCGGCCAGTTTCTGCTGCTCCTGACGCTGTCGCATCTGAGAGTCCACACTGTTGATGAAGCTCTCCACATACACCACCTGAAGACATTCACAAGCATCCAGATGAATACAACAGATAAACATCAAGAGATATATATTTTTTGTGAATGTTCAAAAGGGTCGAACCATGCTGTTGAGCGCGTCTCTGGAGACTTGGTCTTCAGTTTTTTTCAGGATGGTCTTCAGGAGCAGAGGGTATTTGGTGAGTCTCTGGTGCGGTTTGGCTAGCATGTCCATCAGCTTCAGACGGTTACACTGTTTATTCGTTTCTGCCCACTGTAAAGATAAGAAAATCAATGATTATAAGCTAAATTTAGATCATATTCAAGAAATAAAAAAGTTAAAAAAATAAAATAAATAAAAATTGCATTATTTTACATTTTATTTTCTTCAGTTGTACTACTGACTGCGCAATTTGGTCGCAAACTCCTCTTCATGATGTAGATCTTGAAGAGTTTGTTGTATATTTAAGATGAATAACTACCATTCTATATACCGGTAGTCAAATTTTTTAATATAATAATATATTATAAAACATATACATATATATATATATATACACACAGTCACACACACACACATATATATATATATATATATATATATATATATATATATATATATATATATATCTTTTTTTTTTTTATAATAAAAATAAATAAAAAATTCTGTAAACCTGCTTTGAAACAATCTACTTGCTAAAAAGATTTATACAAATTAAATTGAATATCATGGTCGATGGATTGCCAATGCTATAAGAAAAATTACATTTAATAAAAAATTGAATAAAAATACGCAAAAAGTATAAATTACATTTAGATTGTTATATATGATAATGACCATTTTCTATTTTCTGTAAACCTACTTTGAAAATCTATTTCGTAAAAAGAGCTTAAGAAATTGAATATATCATAGATGGATGGTTATAGTTTGCTTTATATTAATATATAGTTTTATTTATTCTCTCTCTCTCTCTCACACACACACACACAGAGACTGCTGTGTATATTGTTTGCTTGTTTGGTCGCAAACTCCTCACCGTAATGTAGATCTTGAAAATTTCGTTGTCTCTCAGCATTGAGCGCATGTATTCCATAGAACTCTCCTCCTCCATGCAGTACCGGATATATGGCTGGAACCTGGACGCAAACTATCCACACAAACAAGACACTTTTAATTACTTAACCAGAAAATAATTATCTTAACAACCAGCCTCTATTACATATAGAAGTCAAGATTATTTTATATATTTATATATAAAAACTCACCGTACTGAACCCCTGCTGCAGGTCCGTGGGGTCGATCAAGCTCCGTGTGTTTCTCGCTTTCTCCAGCGCCGGAAACATGACTTGAACCCACAGTGTCGAGTGCAGATGTACAATGTCGTGGATGTTGCTGAATAGCCGTGCGGGCTCTACTTCACACAGGAGACCGTTGTCCTGTAGATTTAACAGGCCGCACAGGAACAGCTGCACAGACAACAGAAGACACTTTAAATACAACATCACATGGCATTTGCAATGCATTTAGCTTCCATAATATAACATGTTTCTGATTAAACACAATTTTAGTAGGCAATAATGTAGGACAGGACTTGATTTCCTTCATTGGATTATGAAAAGTAATACTGGTCCATATCATATATGACTATAAACAAAGTCTCACAATAAGACAAGAAACATTTATGTACAAAGACAATAAAGTGCAACTTTAATTTCAAAAGTCCTTACTGAAAAAAAAAAGAGAAAAGAATCAAGAAAACTGGCGACTTACATCAGTAATGACCCTGAGTTTCTTAATGTACGTAGCCTCGGTTTGGATCAGTTCCCATATTGCCTCTTGCTGTTGAAACTGGCGTCTACTTAAACTCTGAAAACAAGCAGAAAAAGGTCAGATTGCACTAATAAATGTGCATTCAATAAGTGAAATAGTAGAAATCAGATACATGTCCTATATCAGCTGTTCTGAGATGCAAAATTCAGTTGATTTATGGGAAAACTTGAGGTTACAGCGACTAATATCATAACTGGTTATGTTTACATGTGTTAGCTCCAATGATCAATAGATGGAGACGTCCCATGATAGAAGATGCAGTGTGTCAGTACCTCAGGGTCATCCAGCAGTTGCCTCCAGCTTTCCTCAAGAGTCAGGTTTGGCTCCTCCTCTTCCTCCTCCCAGGAATCCTGGTGAAAGGCGAGCTGAGAAGGAACCTTGGGCAGACCAAACTGGGAGTACGCCTGCAACTTAGTTTGAAGCAGCTCCACACGGTCCACATCCTAAGAGACACAAGGGAAATAGAGAAAATTGAAATCATCTTTCTACATTGACAATGGATGGATAGATTGCATGACAGCTGGATGGATGGACAGACAGACAGGAAGGAAGGAAGGAAGGAAGGAAGGAAGGAAGGAAGGAAGGAAGGAAGGAAGGAAGGAAGGAAGGAAGGAAGGAAGGAAGGAAGGAAGGAAGGAAGGAAGGAAGGAAGGAAGGAAGGAAGGAAGGAAGGAAGGAAGGAAGGAAGGAAGGAAGGATGGATGGATGGATGGATGGATGGATGGATGGATGGATGGATGGATGGATGGATGGATGGATGGATGGATGGATGGATGGAAGCAAGGAAGGATGGATGGATGGATGGATGGATGGATGGATGGATGGTTGGATGGAAGCAAGGAAGGATGGATGGATGGATGGATGGATGGAAGCAAGGAAGGATGGATGGATGGATGGATGGATGGATGGATGGATGGAAGGAAGCAAGGAAGGATGGATGGAAGGAAGGACGGAAGGAAGGATGGATGGATGGATGGATGGATGGAACGATGGATGGATGGAACGATGGATGGATGGAACGATGGATGGATGGAACGATGGATGGATTCCATGGTATCTAGATAGTTTCATGGTAAATATCCCAAAAACCATAATAATTTCCATAATAGTTAGCTTTATGTTAATGATAGAATCCTTTTAAATCAACAAACCAACTATAAAGAGGCCCTAACATTAACAAAGTTTGTGATTTAGCAAAACCCCAACACAATTCACATCAGCAGACCACCAACCAACCAGCAGACAACTGAGGCGCTGCCTGTCTATTCAAACAAAACACCCCCGACCGGGTTTATGACACCTTACAGACACCCCTTTCACTAAACGCCACCTTCTCTTTAACCTCACCATTAAAGCCCATCCATTCATGTCAGTGACACTCTCATGGCCCGTGTGCCACTGGGGCTATTGTCCTGTAACAGGAGGGCCGGTGTACTTATGACAACGAGCATTTAGCATTGAGTGCTTCCAAACAATAGAGGCCAGACACAGATGGACTATAGGCTGCCTGTAGTGGCCACTGGAGATGACTGGTTAACCCTTCTTTTGTGAAAAAGAGTCCCAGTGGGACACAAGAACAGCCCCTGTCTGTCTTCTTTGGGGGTTTCATGGCTGATCGTGAAAAGGATGGAAGTGTGAAAGTGACAGGTGAGTGACAGCTTAGTCAAGCATCTGGTTTAAATGCAGGACGAAACTTTTCAGAGTGGGGGAGTTCTTTAGAGGCTCATGGGTTTGGGGATTTTGTCTGTTGTATTGTTTTTCTCATGTATTAAAACGCAAGAGGAAACAGTCAAACCATAAAACTATACACATAGGAAGGGTATTTCATTGAGTCATCAGCCTCTTGTTTGATTTTTGATTTCTTTAGTTCATTTTAAATCATTTATTCCCATGAAAAAGTTCAGAAATCATTCAATTTAGCAGCAAATCTGCATTTTAGAATCTTTACATGAGATCTTTTTTTACGGGACAATCCCACCACCTGCTTTCCTTAGACTTCCTGATGTTTTCAAGATGGGAGAGATAAGGTGGGAGAGTTTACCTTTCCAGCTCCGGCACCGAAGAACACGCTGATCCGGCTGGTGGCGCGGTTCTTCCAGTTGTCGGGACCAGCGGCCACACCGGCCAGTGAACCTCCTGGAGCCGCGCTTGGTAAAGCCCCGCCGTGTATGGCCAGGGTGTCCGGGCATGGGATGTTGGCATCGCCCAGAAACTCCGTCATGTTCTTCCGCCGACGGCTCGGACCCTGTGAAGAGGAAGTGATGGAAGATCCAGGTGAGTTGACAGTTTACAAATGCAGAAAGATAAAGGTTTGTGAGAAGGATATCAACAAGTATGTCAAGGACAACAGAGCGAGAGATACGGGAGAGACCGTTATCAGTAACAGTACTACAGTATACAGAATGAGGGGGTGTGAGAGAGATGGGGCGGCGGAAAATAAAATCAATGTACCAGCGTTCATCTGAAGATATCAACCCACTACCACAAAACAAAACAAAAAGTTGGAAATGCAATCACAATATTCTTAAAACCTGATCTAGAAACAGTATATTTCACACCATACAATTTCTAATCTGTTTACATTTTCTCAAACTGCTAAAGGTTTTTCAGGTTTAATTACGTTTGAATAAATATAAAATATATTTGAATTAAATATAATTTAAATATATTCTAAATAAAAATATATTTTTACTATACATGAATAAATGAATAATTGTTTAGTTTTCTCAAACTATTTACAGCTTAAATTACATCTTAAATATGTAAACATATTTATATAAATGAATTATAGCTAATATATATATATATATATATATATATATATATATATATATATATATAAAATGGAAACGTCAATAGAGTAGAGTAACTGAAATAAAATAAGAGTAATTGAAAAAAAGAGAGAATTGTTAACTAGAATTGGTTGACTATGATGAGCTAAATCAGTAAACCATTTTATTTTATATTACCGTTTTATAATTTTATACATTACTCAACCCTAGTTGGAAACATGGAAAACGTAGGGTTCCTGCAAAGCGACGACATTTACAGAAACAATAATACATTATGATTCATAAATAAATAATAAATAATCCTACTGAATGTCGCAATTTCCTCATTACATCATACAAAACAAAAATCGAGGAGGTCAGCAACCCTGCTCCGAGAGATCAAGACTGCCATTGTTTTATAAGCAATTGTTCTTCTAGAGAGCACTGCAACATCTTTCTATTTAGACACACTCCATCTTACGAGCTTCAGCGTGTTAAACAAACAAACAAACAGCAGTTTAGTATCTAAGGAAGTAGTAATCTCGCTGAGCGGGAGGCAGACAGGCTTGTTGACCCTTCTCCAAGACGGAGGGAATTCCACAGCCCTGAGTGCCGTTACCCACTAACAACTCTAGCAAATTCCAGAGAGGACTACGACATTTTTGGGGAATGCACAAATAACAGGAAAGGTCTGAGGACAAAACAATGGAATTCCCTAAAAAACACAAGCGAAGCTGATGCTGATGCACTGAACACTTAAGACACCTGTGCAGGTGTTTTATATAACTAAATACATATCTATATACACACTAACATTGAAAAATTCAGTGAGTCTGTAAGATGTTATTAATGTTTTTGAAAGAAGTCTCTTATGCTCACCAAGGCTGTATTTAAGTGTACAAAAATACAGTTAAAACAGTAATATTCTGAAATATTATTACAAATAAAAATGAAATCTATATATTTTCCTCTCTCCAAAAATGTTTTTATTGTTGTGCTTGACTCTAACACCTGCATGCATCATGTAGCACCAAGATTCAGTTGATTTATGGAAAAACGTGAGGTTACTGCAACTAATAATCTCATTTAGACAATATAAATGAATATGTGAATATTTCAAATAAGCCACTCAGAATTCCAATAAATACTTGCAACCTCAATATAGGCTTTATCGGGTTATGGCAATCCTAATAACACGTTTACATGATGTACATGATGTGTATATACTAAATATGACACAAAATAAATCTAAATTTCTTTGAATTTACCTAATCGAATGATTGCGGAGCTTCACAAGCAACTAAATTCGTACTATAACACCTGCCAAAGCATTTCCATGGGCTATTTATAAGTCGATTAAGATTCCTTCAAATACTTCTCTGTGAACTGTACTGTTGGTAAGGCAATCAAGAACATCCCTGCAAAAGAATGACGGATTGGCCACTATGCCCCCCTTGCTATATTTAGAACCGATGCAAAGAGACAGGCAGACGATGAGCTTTGATGAGGGGATTTCTGAGGATTCTGGGGTGAAAGGATGAGGACGCAGATGTCAGGAAATGTCTCTACTTTGGGGAGGATGAACAACGGACGCCTGAACGCTTGGTTAAGGCTCAACACTACCAGCATTGACACAACATTGAAAGTTACTGCAATAAAACAAAAAAAAATTATAATGAAAAACATACAACCAATAAAGAGTGTACTCTATAAACAAACAGAGAGAACACATAAGCAATAAACATCACACAATTGATCCAAAAGCTAAAAAATGCAATTTGTTCAAACCCACTTTAGGATCAGCTGTGCCTGGTGATTCTCACTCTCTGTGGAGGGACTGAATGACCAACGAATTTATGAAGCGGAACAGGGTTCCCAGAGTGTCTGATCTACTCACCATGGAAGCAAGCGGCATGTCAAATGAGAGGTAGACCATGGTAATCTCTCAGCCGGGTTCACGGAGCCTGACCCATGCTAGAGCCAGCTGCTATGATCACTCAAAGCCTCCTCTCTTCAAACTCACAAAAAAGCCACCAGATACAAAAGTACCTCTGACCCTGCAACTCCTGGATGTGTTAGAGTTCTTGAGCCAAAATGAAGCGTGTTAAACGATAGATCACTAATTTTAATTCAGCGCCCCTTAATTTGCTTCTTAAAATATGAGGTGCATCAGGGCTCCGTACTAGGTCCGTTCTAGTGTACCAGAGCTGCTCATCCAGCAATGAGAGGTAAAGCTTTCCGACTGAGCCTGTCTGCCTGCATTACTGAATAGGGCAGCCCAAACGTCATAGCAACTAGGAGGATCCTGTCCCATTGTGTGGGGCAGGAAAGAGAGGTGTGGCCGCTTAAAGAGAGAGGGTCACATGTAAAGAAGGAGGGGAGAAGCTGGGTCCCAGGAACACATCCTGGTGCCTCAAAAACGCCAACCGTATGTTTGGCAACATAGGTTTGATTTAAAAAGTCTAAAAATAAGTTTACTTCAATCCTTGCATACAGAAAAAGTAATTACACAATCAAGAAAATCTTGAGACTTTTACAATTAGCTACAAACAGGTTTTACATAAAACTGTTGCTGCAGTTCATCCATTTAATGAATTAGTCTACTATCATTAAAAAGAGGTTCTGGTGACGATCCTTGGGATTTATGATAAATTGAAAGTGACAGTAGCATAACATTCCTGTCCCTGGAGTGATTTCCCAGCATCTATTTTTTCCTTGCCATTACAAGGAAATGACCTCAGAAATTGAAAACTGAGGGGAATCCCAGACTATAGTACGTGCTGCAACAAGTCTTGAAGTTCTGTATCATTATTATGAATCTAAACATGACATGGCCAACCTAATGACACGTGAGCATCACTTTAACATTAAATAAACAGGTTTATGATCTTTAATAAAATGCCTGGGTGGATGATACTCCTCATTACCGCAGTTTAAAAAGCCCTGGACCAGCCCTGGACCTGCATGCTTGACACATTAATAACTCATTAGAGGTCATGCCTGCTTAAAGACCTGAAGTACACTAAAATGATACATAAAATATAATGAAAATAGATATAATGTTCTATAATTCCTTAATGTCAACATAAACTGTGTCTGCAATCCATTCACAAGACAAATGAATTGAAGACCAGGAAAGTACATTAAAGTAAATAGGATAAATTTTGATTTCAATCTTAAAATCCTGTAGACTTCAAAGAAATCTTCAACATTTAAGCACAAATTAGGTTTCTAATGATTTTAGGCAATAGTAAAAAAAAAAGAAAAAATTGAATATATATCTTTTTAAATGTCAATTACCACTGTAAAACTGCATACATCATTTTTTTTAAATTAAGTTAAATTAAAACATTTATAATAAATAAATAAATGTATATTATTTTTGACAGTGGATGCAAATGAATAAAAAGATAAATAAAACAATGAATAATATAATTAGAATAAATAAAATACAATAAAATACAATAAAATAAAATTATAAATTTTCCTCTGTGGATGTTTTTAAATGTCAACTATTTCGTTATTTGTAAATACCACTGTAAAATGCCATACATCAATTCTACAAATATAATTAAAACAATTAAAATAAATTCATATTTATTTTTGTCAGTAGACGCAAACAAACAAACAAAATAAAATACAACAAAATAAAGAGTTAATACATTTATATTAATTTCCCTCCGTGGATGCACATGTTTTACCCTCTTAGTGCTGTATAAATAAACTTGAATAAGTCCCACATCATCTTAAGTGTTCAGCAGTCAGCTGAGGTGTTTAAGTTGACATTTCCCTACTGGTTACATTACGAGCACTCAAATCAATCCCCGTTAAAAGGTTACTGCTTACCACAAGATACTCCTAAACCGCCACATCTCCCTGTATCTGACCCTGATTCCCGACAACAACAGACTGACCACTGGGAACTGATGCATAACCCAAAACTTCACCATACAACAGTTTATCTCAAGAACACAACAAACCACTGTGAAGATAAGAACAGCTTTTGATCAAGCTTTGAATAATGATGAAACAAACAAAGGTGGAAGAACAGCTTAAGTGACCAGCGCTCACAAAAACACCCAGAAAACACCATTCTGAGCAGGTCACATTTCATTTACTAACTTTACCTTGAGTGTCAACATAGGACTAGTCTCAGGGTCAACAACACTCACAGTGTCGCCCACTAAAATTAGTCAAAGCATAGGCATAACAAAGAGCCATTGAAGCTTAAGGACAGTCGATTAATCAGTGATCAAAACCACGATACGGCCTTATCGCCTGACAAGATAACAGCGTCTGTCTAGCACACGGGCCCAAACTTGTGTCGTCAGGTAGCGGAATGATGCGAACAGCTTTCCATTACGTGCACACTCAGCTTCCATTACACATAGACACGAAGCTCCTTCCCACACGATACAAACATTTGCTCATTGAGAAATGCAGTATTGCGCAATCAAAATGTTGCGATACAGGA